ATTGGCCTATCGCAAGGATTCCTGGGTAGTTAAAGTGCGTGGAGCCTGCATCTATGCGGGCTTCGCGGAAGACCGCTTCAAGGGTACAAAGGGGGCGCTGCTGAGCACACTTCAGAGCGTTAAAATGCCAAATGGGACGGCCGACGGACTCATAGACTCGGCGAGCACGCGCAATTTAAGTCCACGAGACCGAAAGTCCGCATTAAGTGCGCCATTTGGGACAGGGCCTATGTCTGCCAAGGCAGCACTTTATGTGTCTTGTGTGACACCCCCTATGGACGAGAGGGGTGGGGTGAGCAGTTGCTCATTATCATTTAAAGAGACATGCACCGAAACGGGTCGCTGAATATGTGAGCGCGATATGTGAACGGCCCCTTGGCAAGCTGCCACCAATCAGGCCACGAGCTACTGGTAGCTCGCGAGCGACGTGTTGGAGAGAGACCCTGCTCTAAAACAATGTGAGAATAATCATTTTGAGCTTGTAATATGTGTCCAACAGGTTCATAAGAAGGTTTGCTTTGATTTGTGCAGTCAGTAATTTGAGACACTATACATGTGTAGAAAGAATTCAATAAGACGGGCAGACATGACTGCAAATATTTGTATTTCAAAAGCAATAATTGTTTTTCTAAGTATAATAAAAGGAAATGTGCCTTCCAAAAAAAACATTCAATATCATTAATGTGTTGTATAAAGAAAATAATAAGGACATAAGCAAATATAAATATCACAAATATGTGTTATAGACAAAGAAAGTTTGTAAAAATGAACTTCAACTGTCAGAAGGACAGCTCATGAAGAACCAATCATGTACAGAAAGGAATGTTCAAATTCAGAGGAACAGTTCAGAGGAAACGTTAATAATAAATATTGAGAAGATTGGATCAGTTGTGCTCCTTTTTTGGAATACTTGAATACTATTTTTTTGTGGAATACTTGATGCGGCCCAGCCTGACCCAGACTCTACCTCCAGCGGCCCCCAGTTAAGTTGAGTTTGAGACCCCTGCTCTAAAGAGACCTTTCTACTGACTCGGAAAAACACCAGGAGAAAGATGCCCAGAGTCTCGGATCCTGCATAAACGTGCCATATTCCTGCTGCAGGGGGGCATGAGGACTACAGATGTGAACAGAGCAATAAACTGCAATGTCCATAATGTAAGACGCTTAAGACAGTGCAACAGGGAGACAGGAAGGACAGCTGATCATCCTTGCAGCGCCAAACCTCGTGTAACCATATGTCCCCCCAGATGTGTTCAAGAACTTGAGGATGAGATGCAATATAGCATTTAAAGCAGCTGGTGGCCACACTAGATACTATCTGCTACTTTTAATATTGACCCACACTTTGTTCAGGGACTCATTCCATTTCTGTTCGTCAAATGTCTGAAATTCGTTCAGTTTATGTCTCAGTTGAATCTTTTTATGTCCATACAAATATTTACGCGTGTTAAGAAATTTGCTGGAAATAAAAGCAGTAGAAAGTTTGAGGATGTTTCTTTTTTTGCTGAGTGTGTGTGTGTGTGTGTGTATATATATATATGTATTTATATATATATATATTTGTTTGTGTGTGTGTTGAAGTTCATATATGTATGTAACTGTATACTTGAAAACCATATAGGACCATTTTGCATATGTTGTCATTTGTCAGGTTTCTGCAAATGTTTCCCTTACCTTCAAGGACCTAAAATTACTATACAGTGTAATTTATTTTGCAATGTTGCAATATATTTAGTAGCGGCACAGCAAACAGAAACCACAGAATCCAATTTGAGCTTGTGGTAGCTCACAAATGAAGCCTATTTGCTTTGCTATGTTTTGACCAGTTGCTAATTGTGAACTTATCTCAGATATTTTAAATGAAGTTCTGAATGTAGGTTTGTGTCTCGGAAGGAGCCTAATCATTCAGTCTTGTCAATCATCATTATGAGCGTATATAAGCAGCAGTCATTGCACCGTCCCAGCGGCAATTCCTCCGGCATCCCTCCACCTCCCCATCTTCTCCTCTATTTCTCTCATTCTTCCTCTACATAGTACTGTTATAGGTGAGTTGAGCTCGGAGCTCGAGCCGAGCCTCAGGTTCGAGCCTCCGTCAAGGACATCAACATTATAGCCTATATATATATATATACATAGATGCCTCATTAGTGGCTGTTTCTATGGACCGCTATATTATATGTAAGCCGTCTGCCATATTGGAATGGTCAAAGATGGTCCTTGAACACTCGAGAGCAAGTTGACTGCGTCTACAACCGTAGTTAGACGCATATATGAATATCTATATCTACAATAGACTGCAATAGCAGATGATTTGCTTAACTAACATAATACAAGAAGACGAAGGCATCAGCTAATACGACATTAAAAAGTTACCATACTATAAAAACCTGTAATATTGAGTTAATTCATGAAAACACAAATCAACACATTATTACCTGTGAAAGGTTATCACATGTCTGGAATTTAAATCTTGGCAGATTCACAACCGGAAGCCACGCAATGTTGTGGCATCATTGATTTTTACTGTGAGTGACAGCACACTGACCGTTCCAAAATGTCTGGAGAGGTGTGGCATATATATCTATGGACAGCAAGCCAAGTTTGTTTAGCATTAACTATTAAGACTGGATGGGCAGGCGAACTTGTGAATAGTACATCTGAGAAGGATTAGTGAATAAAATAATTGGAATACCCAAGTAAAAGAGATTGGTGAATGTTGTATTAATATCACCTGCAAGGGTTTGTTTTTTGGTGTAAGATGCTGACACCTTTTACACAGTATCTTGTTTCTCTTCACTGTTCAGTGAGGTTGAGTCATGAAGCATAAAATGAGACGTCACTTTTCATTAGAGGACAGGAGAGAAGAACAGACAACCCCCTCCCCCCACCACCAAAAAAGAAAAAAACAGATTGCTCTGGGAGGAGAGGGTGAGAGAGAAAGTGAGAGAGGCTAAAATAGATTGGACGACACTGAGAGGAAGGAAAGAGAAGATGGAAGTTTGTATGTTTGCGTATTTGTGGGCAGGTGTGTGTGTGTGTGTGCAACATCTGCGTCATCAGTGTTCTTCTGATTCCTCTATTTTTTTAAACACACAGCCGTAGCAACACACACACACACACACACACACACGAGTTGTGTACCCGGGCAGCAGGATCCCTTAACTAAGCCTTTCGCTTGATGAGAATGAGGACAGACAACTAGCAAGGCTAAGCACTGGAAAGTTGCGCTGAGGCAGAGATTTCTAGGTATAAGAGTATAATTTGAGATTTTAATGAGATCTTAATCCGAGATACATCCTTCAAGAGATTAGACATCATATCCGTGACTTTGTGTAGAAACAGAGTGTGTGAGAGAAAGAGGGAGTTATGCAGGACATGGTTTCAGGCTGAATAGAATCTGTGACAGGCTTGTGTATTTATGAAAATCTATTTTTAATTTTGTCTTCTTTTTTCCCCCAGTGTTTGGGACTCCAGATCAGGTCATCAGTATGCGTTTGTGTATGTGTGGGTCAGATTTTGCTTTTGTGCAATCCAAATGTCCCTACAAGGATAACAAAACCTGAAATCAATTACACTGTGGGGACCAACCAGTTTCCACAAGGAATATGGCTTAAAGGCACAGTTCACCCAAAATGAACATTTGTTTCAAACCTCTATGCTGTATTTTTCTGTAAAAACACTGTAAAAACTTTCTTTAGAAATGTCCGATTGGTTCTTTTGAGTTGAATCGGTTGATCTGGTTCACAAAACAGGTCTGTATGATTCACTCACAAATTGGAAAATGTAAATGTCAGTCTGTTTGTCACACAAGCTATTGTACAGTATGACTTCAGAAGACTTGGATTAAAGTCATATGCTAATTTTATGATACTTTTATGGTGCATTTGTGACGTGCTTTTTGAAGCTTGAACACTCCAGCCAGCATTCATTGTAAATGCAAGGAAAAAAGAGAATAATACTTCCTTCAAAACTTCTCCTTTAGTGATCCACAAAAGAAAGAAAGTCATACAGGTTTGGAACTACTTCAGAGTGAGTAAATGATAACCAAATTTTCATTTTTGTGAGATGTATTTCTTTAATAAAGGGACTAAAATAATGTCTTAAAGATACAGTCAGCAATTATATTTGATTAGGCTACTGATATGACTGGAGTCGTCTTCTTGTGAGTGTACATGATTTTACATATTGTTCAAAAGTTCAATGAGTAAATGATAACAGAATTTTCATTTTCGAGTTGTCCTTGTCCCTTTAAACACCTTATGTAGAACTAGAACATAGAAATATTACTAGATCGGAATAAAAATGTGGGCATATTCATGGGTTTTCATTGTGTGTGTGTGAGAAGAGAGTTTGTGTGTATCCGCGCATGTGTGTCCACATCAGTTGGCTCACCTGGGAAAGCAAATGATAAGTTACATAATCAGGGCAAATAAAATTACATCAGATTCTCTCAAACACACACACACACACACACACACACACCATGCGCACACACACACACACACACACACACACACACACACACACACACACACACACACACACACACACACACACACACACACACACACCATGCTCCTAACTGCGCATCTGTATTGCCCTCCTTCTCTTTTCATCTCCTGCCTTGTGTGTGTGTATCTTGGCAGCAGTGTAAAAGTTCCACATGCAGATTAATTTATGTCCTGGTGAAAACAGATTTTGTAAAGTGTTTACTGCAATGCCTCTAATGTGGTAAAATGTAGTTTGGACTGGTGCCACCAGAGGGCGCAATCTGACTCTTTGTTTCATGTCAATGTAACTTTAACCCCTGAAGCTTTTAAAGCAACATCTAGACACTTTAATGACCCTATGAAAGCAATCATGCAGACTGTTAACTCTGGATGCTCTGAGCCGAATGCTAATCGAATGTGAGCACAATTATCATGATTAGTTTAATTGATGATAACAGGACTTGAAGATCAAGTCATGTCTGTCTTAATGTGTGTGTGTGTGTGTTCTAGTTATGGGTAAATCAGGAGGAAAACACAGCGGTCGAGGCTGCCGAAAGCTCCAGCGAGGTGCAGAACGGCCACGCGGAGGCCAGTCCGAACCCCAGCACCGACTGCCTGTGTCTGGGCCAGCCCACCCAGAACCGGGACCAGATGAGGGCCAATGTCATCAATGAGATCATGAGCACAGAACGACATTACATCAAACACCTGAAGGACATCTGTGAGGTAACAATCTTTGGCTGTCTCCAGATGTGTCTCCTAAATTTCCTGAGGGGAAATATACATAAACACAATTGAGATAAAAAATTTAAACACAGGAAAAGTATACAATTATAAATTTTACGCGGATATCATGGCTCAGATAATTTGCCTGTGAGAATCTAATGAGACATCATAAGAAATGTTTATTGAGCACCAAATAATCATATTAGAATGATTTCTGAAGGATCATGTGACAGACGACTGGAGTAATGATGCTAAAAATTCAGCTTTGCCATCACAGAAATAAATTATGTTTAAATGTATTAAATAAAACAGTCATTTTGAATTGTAATGATATTTGACAATATTACTGTTTTACAGTATTTGTGATTAAATACCAAGAATAAGAGACTTTTGAACAGTAGTGTTAGTGTAAATCTGTGTATGTGTTTCTGTTTCAGGGGTATCTCCGTCAGTGTAAAAAGAGGAGAGACATGTTTAACGACGATCAGCTGAAAGTGATATTTGGAAATATCGAAGACATTTACAGATTCCAGTTAAGCTTTGTCAGAGACCTGGAGAAACAGTTTAACACGGAAGAACCTCATCTCAGTGAGATCGGACCCTGCTTTTTGGAACACGTCTGTATTCCAACATAGAAAATCACTGACATATACATAATGGGTCAAGGGGAAAACTGATTTCTTTAACATTTTTATATTTTTATTTACAGCAAGATGGATTCTGGATCTACTCGGAATACTGTAACAACCACGTTGACGCCTGCATGGAGATCACACGTCTTATGCGAGATGCACGATACCAGCACTTCTTTGAAGCGTGCCGATTGGTCCAGCAGATGATCGACATCGCCATTGACGGCTACCTTCTCACACCAGTCCAGAAAATCTGCAAATACCCTCTACAGCTGGCAGAGTTACTGAAATACACAGTACAAGAACACAGGTACACACAGAAACACGGATATGCTAACTCAAGGTGCATCATGCAGATAATGGCGGTCGGGTCCACAAAATATATGACTGTGTAAATGACAAATTTTGAACTGACATATCTACTTTCCACTTATCATTTTGACAGCCCTCGTTTTTTTTGCTCTTCTCTTTTGCTTATTCTTTTCCTTTTCTCTCCCAGTGATTATCGGTATGTGGCTGCTGCGCTAGCTGTAATGAGAAATGTCACTCAGCAAATCAACGAACGCAAACGAAGGCTTGAGAACATTGACAAAATCGCCCAATGGCAGGCCTCTGTACTGGACTGGGAGGTGTGTGGCTAAAGCTTTTCAGAACAAGTTAATTAGCAGTATATAAGATATAAAAGAGAGCAGTAGTAGAGTTAAACCTGAAAATTTGGTTGTTTATTGTTATTTATTTATTATATATGTATGTATATGTAAAAGGTTTTGCATCTTAATATTTTTCTGGAAACCATAATACAATTTTTTGAAAATTTTTTTTGAAAGAGAAATCTTTTGATCAATTTAATGCAACTTTCCTGGATAAAAGTATTCTTTTTTTTTTTCTAAATCTCAAACTTTTTTGGGGAGGGGGGGCAGTTGTGGCCTAATGGTTAGAGAGTCGGACTTGGAACCCGAAGGTCACAGGTTCGAGTCTCAGCACCGTCAGGAAATGAAGGTGGAGGGAGTGAATGAACAGCTCTCTCTTCCACTCCCACAACTGAGGTGCCCTTGAGCAAGGCACCTAACCCCCAATCGCTCCCTGGACGCCGTAGCAAAAATGGCTGCTCCAGGTGTGTGTTCACGGTGTGTGTGTTCAATACTCACTGCTGTGGACTTGGATGGGTGAAATTTCGCAGAGCACAAATTCCGAGTATGGGACACCATACTTGGCTACACATCACTTCACTTCCACTTTTGAATGGTAGTGTATTACAGTTTCCACAAAAATATTAAGCAGCAAAACATTGATAATAATAAGAAACATATATCAAATCAGCATATTAAAATGATTTCTGAAGGATCATGTGACACTGAAGACTGGAGTCATGGCTGCTGAAAAGTCAGCTTTGCCATCACAGGAATAAATTATATTTTTAAAACATATTAAAATAGACAATTCTATTTTAAATTGTAATCATTTTTCAAAAAATATTGCTGTTCTTACTGTATTTGTGATCAAATAAATGCAGCCTTTGTGAGCAGAGACGTTCAAAAACATTTCATGTTAATTATTCCAAACTTTGACAAGTAGTATATTTTACAAAAACAAGATTTTTTTCCTATGCAGTTTCTAATGGCATCTATGGCACAGGTTTGATGTTTGTTATTGACGTGTAACCTGCACCACAGGGATCATGTTTGATTGGAGACATGAAGACATCAAAGTCTCAGTGGTGTCAGATGTAGTGATTCATTTGTTATTGTGTGTGTGCAGGGTGAGGATATTCTGGACAGGAGCTCAGAGCTTGTGTACACCGGGGAGATGTCCTGGATATATCAACCATACGGGCGGAGCCAAACCAGAATCTTCTTCCTGTTTGATCATCAGATGGTCCTCTGCAAGAAGGTGAGAACAAGAGGGGATTAAGGCACAAATAACACTCTCTTAAGTTCAATTGATGATGATGAAGTAGGAGTCTGCTTTAACTGGGACACATGGGTCTGGAAATAAAGTGTAGAGAACAGGTAAAAAGATAGATAGATAGACTACTATTGACAAAAAAAATAGTGCCAGGCATGACTCTTGCAGTCCTGTTTTTCGTTTGTGAGGAGTAGGAATCTTTGAGGGAAGGTAGCAGGCAGCTGATGATGTTTTCAGCACATTGCACTCTATAACTTTCACTTGGAGAGCGAAGATGCAGAATTGAACAAGACAGGCATGGAAAAGCAAACTATGGTGGTGTAGCGCAACTGAGGGTTTGTGATTTGAATTCGAGCTGAAGGTAAAATCCGTTTGTGTTTCACTGTCCTCCAAACACCCTCAAGCTCAAAGCACATGGCCCATTTTTAGTCTCTCCACAAAGGTGCAAAAACATCTCTCCAGCACCATATGACATACACAGACAGTTCAGCAACACAAAAAACTGAGACAATCAGCGCCTGTTTTTCACAAGACTGATATGAGATTACCCAGACCAGCCAACCAATTAGCAGTCTTACTATTTATATCAAACATGTTTGGAGACTCGTAATACAAATCACTATGATCTCTAATAAAAAGGTGCCACACGCATCCTATCCCACCTTGTATGTATATGTACATGTAGTTTACATGTACATTTATTTTAATATAATATTTAGTTTCATTCTGTCTGTAACTTGTCTGGACCGTCAGTACCGACTACAGACATGCTAATAAAGTCTCTCCGCCTTCCACAGGATCTCATTCGCCGTGATATTCTCTACTATAAGGGCCGAATTGAAATGGATCGATATGAGGTCATTGACGCAATCGACGGCCGAGATGATGATTTTAACGTTAGCGTGAAGAATGCCTTCAAACTGGCCAACAGAGACACAGACGAGATCCATCTGTTCTTGCCTAAAAAGCTGGAGGAGAAAATGCGTTGGCTTCGGGCGTTTCAGGAGGAAAGAAAGATGGTCCAGGAAGATGAGAAGATTGGTGAGAACTTTTGCATTTAGTCATTATTCATTCCCATGCCGTGTCAAATTTGTATTCTGTTAGCTTTTTCTTTTTTTTTAATTCAGGCCGACCTTTTCGATACAATAACCATACAAGTTTACCACTCTCACTGTGATTTAAACTTTGTTCTGTTCTTCACACAAAATGTTGTCTGTCATTTTGTCGCTTTAGGGTTTGAAATCTCTGGGTATCAGAAGAGGCAAGCCGCCTTGACCGTTAGGAGAGTCACCAAACAGAAAGGTATGAAATCTTGAAGCCTGCGTGACCATTATTATGTTCAGTGGGGGGTAGGTTACTCTAAAAAAGTAATTAATTACTAGCTACTAATTACATCTTCAACAGTGTAGTTAGATCACTGAACTAATTACTCTCTAAAAATTAATGCATTATTTAGTAATAATTACTTTCTAAATCCCATATCAACCTCCAACAGTTGAACAATACAAGGATAGACATGAAACTTAAAATTATTTAAGTTTAAATTATCCTTGAACTGACCAAAATATTTAAAGGGAGAAGTTTACATTAAAAACATACATTTGAACATTAGACGTTAAATTTTGATGTTGAATCTGGTTTTAGCCTCTTGAGGTGTGTTCACACTTGGCAGGTTTGGTTTGGCTCGATCATTAAATTTAATCAATAAATTAAATTAGAAAAATGAGACATTATAGGGCTGTTACCAATCAAATAAAATCAGTATCATCAAAATCTGCAGAAGTGGCGGCACTGAATATGCATCTTAAACAGCATTTAGATGTATTTACATTATAATTTCAATTGCATAAATAATGCTATGCGATAAATGTTTTAAAGATAATATTTTGAATAATTACAGTTTTTCTCGATTGCTTAAACACTATAACCAGGCTTTTGAACTAAAATTTCTAAACCATAATGCCATTTATCAAAAAGCACACCCATTTCACTGAACTATGAACACTATTCCCCTGTTTTGACACATTAGTCAGATTTGTTGAACTGTCACAGCAAAACTCTACACACAAATCCCTTCATTTCTCATTGCCTACACCACGTGGTCATTTAGAAAGCACTAGCATTCAAAATTGTTCATTCAAGTCAGCTCAGCTTCAGCTCAGTTAGCACACAATTACCCAGGTGAAAACACTAAGAGTCAAAATTGAACACACATCAGTCAGATCCTTCAATAGATAGATAAAAGGTTGTAGAATCTTTTATAAAAGATAAAAATCAGTTTACTGAGTTTTGGAACAATGGATCAACAGAGAAATTAAGCAATAGGTCGTGGAGGGAGAGGAAGAGGAGGATGAGGAGGAGGAGGAAAAGGAGGAGGAAGAGGAAGAGGAGGAGGAAGAGGAGGAGGAGGAGGAGGAGAAGAAGGAGGAGGAGGGAGAGGAAGAGGAGGGGGAAGAGGAATAGGAGGAGGAAGAGGAAGAGGAAGAGGATGAGGAAGAGGCGGAGGAAGAAGAGGAGGAGGAATGGCAACTGCAAGAGGACAAGCAGTCTCAGGTGAAATTCAAGCCACTTTAGTTGGCCATGTACTTGTCCATGGTATGACAATGAGGGAGGCTGGGCAACGAGTACAGACAAATTTGAGTCGCTTCACCGTCGCCTCCATCATCAAAACCTTTAGGGAAGTGTGGTGGCAAACAGATTTCTATCACTGAATCAGAGACAAACATTTCCAATTGTCTTTGATGAGGTTTATGTTCTTGCAAGAAAAGGCCAGCATTCGTACAGTCACACAGAGTGGCTGCAGAGTGTGACAGTGAAGGGAGGGCATCCTTTCTCCTTTATAGTCTTAACTCACAGAATGTTATCTTTCTAGGCCAATGATGGTTTTTCAACCATATGTGGAACATTCTTAGACTTGTTCATCATATTGTATCCTTGAGTGGAGGCATGTACCAACACTCTTTACCATTCCAATACAATTCCAGATTTGAATAAGGTTTGTGTGTGCTCTTTTACTGTCATATGATGCTCACATACATCTTACATAAGTAGGAGCGAGTAAAAAAAAAGATGGGGGGCGGTTGAGGGTGGGTAGGGTGGTGGACCACAAGCAACATGACTTACCAGTTTTGGAAATGTTGTTTTGAATTTATAGCACCAGTGTGTAAGACTATGTTGTAGTGTGTGTATTTTTGAGGGCTTGTGTGTCCTGTCTGAGGGCAAAGTTTGGTTTTTCAGCAAGAGTGAATGGTTTTGAGTGTAGAGCTTCATTTTGACCTGAAAATAGGATGTTTGGGGAATTGGGTGAGACGTTATGGATTTGTGTTTACTTTTTTGAGAATACGAGGCATAGTTTCAAGAAATGTGTTTAAGCAATCGAGAAAAACTGTAATATATATATTTTTTAATTAAACAATACTTTAAACATGAAACTAAAACCGCCAGTAGGTGATGGCAAGTCACTGTCTTAATGAGTGAGTCATTGAATCATTGAATCGTTCGATTCACTCAAATGACTGATTCATTCAGGAACTGAGCAAGTGACTGCCTTTGTGAATGGAATATTGAATCATTGTTTCGTTCAAAAATGCTGATTCATTCAGGAACGAAACACCCCTGTGTTGCTCGGAGATGCACGACGGTTCTGTTGCGGCTTTGTTAGGAACTATTTTCGTTGGCGAAATAGAGCATAAAAAGACAATATTGTGCCTAAAATGTAACTCACAATATTAACTTGTTTATTGACTGTTAAATAAAATCAACATCAAATGTGCAATCGTGCTAATATTCAGAGAATACATCGTTTGGTTGTGTGATATTGCTTAATTATATCATATGTAAATATAAGACAAAAACGCATTTTTTGCCTTCATATTATTGAATTTTGAGGGAATTCTAACTGCATTCTATTAGGCCACATCACACAGTGAAAGCATGGACTCTCAAGGCATGTTTCTGTTTTTAACAAAGTAAGAGACAATGTACATCCAGCCAGTTGTTATCGCAGAATAAACCCGACAGAGTGATCAGGATCTTGCATCAGCCTGAAGGTGTTTATTCTAAGATAACAACCGGCTGGATGTACATTATCCCTTACTTTGTTAAAAACAGAAACATGCCTTGATTTGGAATTATTGAAACATCCCAATTATTACACGGCTACTTGCCACAGAAGTAAATAGTTAGACACGAAAAATGACTTGAGTTGAAATATTTTATTAAGTCTTTAAACGCAACGCTTCCGTGAAGAAAGCAGTTGCTAGCAAGGCAAGTTCAAACTAGACGGACATTTAAGGGATACGGTAAACAGTCATACCACTTATTACATGGCATTTCGCCACATAAGTAATTATGGGGATTAGAGATAATGATTTGAGATTAAACTTTTAAAATCATACCAGTTTGTCATCTTATAATCCATTACAGTTTAAAAAACAATCGTCGCAAAATGGCAGCAGCTGCGTTTGTATGAAACGAGAGCGAGTCCGCGATACCCATATGACAATTAAATAACGAGTTGTAATATTTGATTAGCTCACTAAAACTCCTAGCAAGCGTATAGCGCTGACTTCAGTTACCCGGATGAGGCTGTGTTATCAGTTTTTACCGGTTGTTATCGGGGAAAAACATACCGCTGGATGGAGCAACTGACCAATCAGAATCAAGTATTCCACAGAGCCATGTAATGATGTCAGCTATCACATAGTTAAAACAATTAACACCCCTAGTTGCCATAGACAGCTTTTAGTTTTTGCATAACACAATTTCCATTTCCAATAAATGATACTGTATTCTTTTGTATTGCTGTTACCATGGTCGAAAAGTCCCAATGAGAAAATACAAGTAAATCAATGCAAATTATATTTGTTTGCCTTGCAGTAAATGGTGCCTGTGGATGTTACACAGTACATACAGCATTAATCTACACAAAATTCAAATCAAAGTAATTTTAACCACAGATAAACCTTGAGTTTATGCATCAGGCTTTTTTGTTTTCCTATGTGCCCATCTTCTCAGGTGTGGGCCGGTCGGTCCCCCCAGCGTACCCACCACCTTTGGACCCCATGAACCCCGGGCAGTACCTCCTCCCTGACGGCTACGGGCAGGCGGATGGATATGAATACGAGCCAAAACGCAGCACATCACCCTTCTGGCAGAACTTCAGTCGGTTAGCTCCCTTTAAAAAATAGAACACACACCTACCAGGGGTTGGATACACCGGCCTCTGTATACTTGGAAAAGCACTATTCTACTTAAGATACATCTGTGGGACTTGAGGAGGACTGACACGACACAAACTACAGGAGAGAGGACGGACCTTGCTTCACTGGGGTTTACCAGGCGTATTTCTTTTACTGGGGTTACGGGGACACCTCGCCGGGCTGGCTGCACTGAATTCTGCACACGACATGTTGTAATTCACAGAAAAGAAATTCACACACACTCACAAAAAATATACACATTTTATCCCTCAGCACTCTCTTTTTAGAGAGGTTTTAAATGATGAAATAAGAAAAATCACCTATGGTTTCTTCTTCTCTACACAAATCGACAAAAAGCGAATTTTCACTTTTTGAAGCACTAAACCACCGTAATGACTCTTACTCTCTAGCGCCGCCCTGGTGTTCCTCCGTGCACTGTGACTTTTCGGGGCATTCTCTCTCACCCAATCTCTTTTATCTCTCGATCTCATACTCGACATTATCACGTGTTTTTCCAACAGTTTCGAGTCTGGTCAAAGCTGAAGATTTTTTATTTTATTCCTGGACAATTTCTCCTCGGATGGAACCTGCTGCACTCTTTAGTTTGTTTTGCATGAGATTCAGTTCATTGCAGGTATTTTTATTTGTGTAATTCTATTCGTACGGGTCTCAAAGAACAGTGGATCACGATCTGCAAATTTGTCACTCGATCACGGTCTACTGGAAATACAGATATTGGAACAACTTTGACATTCAGAGAAAGCTACGATCGATCAAGCTTAAAGTCGTTTTGGTTTGGTGGAGCTTTTGGGTACCCTGAGAAAACTACAGACCAGAGAAACCTGAAGGAGGAACTGTTTTGTCTCTGAACAGTGGACCTCTGTAGCGTGTTTACGTCAGAGCCTTGTTTATCCTGAGCTCTCGGTCTTGGCTTTATCATTGTTTCCTCTCTCCCATCATCAGTGCTGATCAGTTGTTAAAAAGTAATAATTCCACCTTCTTCATTTTATAGGGAATGATACTCGGACCAGGACGACTTTAATCCTGCTGATCAACCTCGTAATGACGTGCCAATTCATGTCTAACGTGCCAAAATAGTCTGGTTGCCAAATTTTCCTCTAACAGGTGCATTGGCATGTGCGAATGCCAACCCCATGAGCTGGTACCCCGCCATGTGACTTCTCAGGCGAAAATTAAGTCAGTGAAATTTGGTTATCGCTGCTAGGATTAGCATGACATAGAGTTTCAGTTTTTTCTCTTTTTTTTTTGGTTGTTTTTTGTTCTCTCTCTATATATACAGTATATATATATATTTATTTTTTCCCAAATTAAAGGGACTTGTGCGAAATTTCATTTATGGTATATTCGGGTTTTGTCTGATAACTTTCAAAGGATAGTATTTAGTCCAATCACAATATTTAAAGTATTGCTATAAAACATTATTTATTCTATTATAGTGTGATTTTATTTTTTTCCATCTTGATCCTCTTTCTATATTTTAGAGCTTCTGCTGGAGTGTTAAAGACCTTTTTAGGGCATAAAAAAATGTAAGAGGACAGTATGGAAGAAATATGTCACACGTGTGTACTAAGTGCCACATGAAACTATTATTATGTTACAAAGGAAAATAACAGTTTAATATTTTTGATTCGGTGATATGATTGAAATAAGAACATTATATCATTATTTCATAATAAACTTAATTATGGAGAAAACAGAGTTGAACTGAATACATGCTTCGTCTGGTTTTATTTGATTTCATGTTTGCTAAACAGTGATGCTGGTTTCATTTAAAAAAAAAAAAAAGTTAGAATGAGGGTATTATAAAATAATGACAACATAAATGGGTAAAAGGAATTATATATATAGGTTCATTTGAATAAAAATCTAAAACATTAGTATTAAACTGATTCAAAATAGATTTCCAATACTGTTCAAAGGTTTGGGGTAAGTAAGATTTTTATTTATTTTGTTTTTGAAAGAAATGAACTTTTATTGAGCAAGGACGCAAGGATGTTATAATGTGATTCCTATCCAACTGGCTCCAACAAAAATATTAAGCTGCAAAACCGCTTTCATCATTGATAATATTGTTACAAAATGTTTCTTGAGCACCAAATCAGCATATTAGAATGATTTCTGAAGGATCATGTCACACGGATCCTTTAAAACACATAAAAAAATCTTATTGACCTCTTTTGAATGGTAGCGTAGGTACACATTGTATATTTATGTATATTTTATATTTAAAAAGAACAGATTAAAGAAGAGTCTTTGATGTTTTTTTCTTTCCAGTTTATTAAGCTGAATTGTTTTAAAGTGATTTGATTGTGTTCAATATGCATCACAATAATTTACCTGCTGACGGATAAACATCCATTGATTCACACAGGTTAGTAAGGTCTCTAAATTTCAGACACACACACACACACACACACACACACACACAAATCACTCTTTCTCTCTTTCTCTCACTCACGTATTACATTTCTTCATGAGATATAAAGCATACACTGAAGAATATCAGGATTGGCGGGAAACTGATGATGTCACAGTGATAGTTTCCCATGAGATTTTTGTGCTCTTTTCAGTACAGCAAAAGGTAAAATCTGACCACCATAAAACAAAAACCGTGTCATAAGCACAGCATGACATGGCACTAAAATTCTACAACCCAAGACAGAAATACATTCGTAATGCCTCATAATCGTGAACCGGCCCAGGTCGATGGGAAAAATACATTCCGATAAATGTTGACAGACCTTCGTAACCCTGTTAGGTCAATAATTTGACAGTAGTCTAACATATTCAACATTCAGTATTCACTCAACATTCAATCAAAAAAAGAAGAAAAAAAAAGGCAGATTTCGCTTCTACAAAACATTCACTTCCTTCATTGATTTGTTTCAGCGTCCAATCACAGTGTGTGGTTTCAGTGGTTTACAGTGGTCCGACACTCACACATGTCCATGTTAAACATGGTCTCAAGGGTGTTTTTAAATCAGTGCGAGAGACACATTTATTGGCATTATCTTTTTCTGTGACACGCTTAAGTGATTGTACGCATCATAAACATATTCAGAACATCCACTTAAAGACTTCATGACACCTTTGAAAACATTATTTCAGAATTCACAGATAGGCAATGTAACATCTGAGCCTTATACATCAGTGATGTAAAACGAACAGTGTGTATATTTGGGGAATTATTCCAAAGTAAATGTCCCAGGGAGTGTCACAAAAAGTCACTCTGTACTTCAAGATAAGCAAATTAACAATAATTTATAAATAATTTCCTTTATAAAAGTCTCAGAGTGTGTGTTAATTTGTGCTCTGGTAAACAAATTCATATTCTGTAGAATTACTGAAGTAATTCTGTACTTCCTGTAAATTAAACTTAAGGCTTTGGTGACAAATGTTTTCAGATAAGATTCAAGATGTTAGCATTGTTTGTATTTCATTATCCATTTAGATTTAGATACAAATTTCAATAGAGCTGTCCAGTCAATTAAATAAATTAAGGTCTGTGATTAGCATAGAAGTTTCTATGTTTTGCAACATAAATTACACAGTCATCTTAATAAAAAAACATTCAAAAGTTTGGGGTCAGTAAGATTTTTTTTTTAAAGAACTTAATAGTTTTAATCAGCAAGGATGCATTAAATTCCTCTAAAGTGACAGAACTTTCTTTTCATCAAAGAATCCTGAAAAAAGCGTGTCAATGTTTTCACAAAAATAATTGTTTTCAACATTGATAATAATAAGAAATGTTTCTTGAGCAGCAAGTCAGCATATTAAAATGATTTCTGAAGGATCATGTGACACTTTAGATTGGAATAATGCTGCTGAAAATTCTGCTTTGCCACCACAGGATTAAATAATATTTTAAAATGTAATAATGTTTTACAATATAAATGTTTTTACTGTATTTTTGTTCCATTAAATGCAGCATTTATAGCGCATAAGAGACTTCTTTGAAAAATTGTTAAAAAAATCTTACCAATCCTAAACTTTTGACTGTTCTAAAAACCCATATGAAATTCCAGAGGAAACACAATCTAAAATGCTAATTCACTTCTGGTTTAAGGACTGCAAAGTAAACAGCTTTATTCTTGAATCGTTGAACTGGAGGTCTTTTATTCTGGAATAATTTTCTAAATATTCTGCCATTTTATTTCTGAAGGTTTCCTATCCAGCTCTGTACTGGCTCCTTTCACAGCAGTGTAAAAGACTCAACATGTACCTGAAATTGTATTGATGAAAAAACAAGTCAAGTTTTGAACCAAGTAATAATTTAAATGGATTATTTCCTCCCCCCTCAGAAGGCTTTAGGCTTTTGACTGACGGACATCCTTCCACTCCATCTTGGTGCTTTGTAAAGCCTGTGTCTTCTTCTCGTCTACCTGCACGTAATCCACCCTGTAGTCGTCTGCCAGCAGCGGTTTCTGAAAACATCAATAACGCAATATGAGCAAACCATCAAAACAGTAACCAGCACGGCGGAACTGTATCAATCCTGCAGGCAGATTTATGCCATGTCGTGTTTAGAGCTGAGTGGTGACAAAGCAACTGTCACTGGGACAGGAAATGCTGAGTCACTGTAATCGCTGCCTGAAGATTCAGTTTAAAAAAGCCACAGAAAAGATTACTACAACAGATAGCAGTGCCCACTAAAACCCCATGCGCACTCACTAAATATGGGTTTGTAGAGAATGCTTCAGATGCTTGTAAGAGATTTGTTTCTGAAACGTTTTTTTTTTTCACCTCATGGCCACCACTGACCTTCTGGACTGGTGAGGGGGAGGCAGAGTTGAAGTCAAGTGACAAGTAATCCAGCTGAGAAGGCCTCATCCAGGGGGCAGAATCACAAGCTGGGAACAGCATCTGCCGAGAGTCCTAATCAAAGGAAAAGCAAATATACCCACAATATATAATTACAATACATAACAATAATATATATTTGTGTTCAAAACTATCACCAAGGCTGCATTTACATTGTAAAATTACTACCATTTCAAATATTGTAATACATTTTAAAGTGTCATTTATTTCTGTGATGGCAAAGCTGAATTTTCAGCATCATTACTCCAGTCTTCAGTGTCACATGATCCTTCAGAAATCATTCTAATGCGCTGATTTGGTGCTTAAGAAACATTTTTTATTATTATTATTGTTATTACTACAGTTGTGCTGCTTTTTGTAGAGGTAAAGTTTGGTAAATAAAAAGACAACATTTATTTTAGTTTTGCTGTTTGTTTCGCTGATGAATAGAAAGTACATCAAGTTAAAATAGAATTTTTTTGTATTTATCTTTAATCTCACTTTTGATTAATTTAATACAACCTTGCCAAATAAAAGTATTAATAATTAAATTTTAATGTTATTTTAAAAATCTTACTACCCCAAACTTTAGAATGGTGTGTGTGTGTGTGTGAATATATACCATACATATATATATATATATATATATACACACACACACACGTATATACGTAAATGGAATTTTTGTATAAATAAAATGTAAATTATAATAAAGTTGTATACTGCATATAACAGTGTATATACATTATAAATATTTTTTATATTTCACATGTTTATGCTTATTCCTAAATTATGATCATTTACATAATTTAATGGTTTGCATTTCTTAACTATCTGCTGAGTTTTTCTATGCACTCTATGCTAATTTTTTTTTTGTAATTTACAGAGATTTACTGTTGTTTTCTTGCCTTTTTATCATTCTTTTGTTTGTTTGTTTTTCTCCCTCTGTTGCCCTCTTGCTCTTTCTAATTTTAAGGAGAAACAGAGCAATAACTTATTAATGAGAAAGGATGGCTTAAACGGGAAGTCACGTTACCGTTGGCGTGATGCTCCCTTCCTGTTCAGAGCCGTTTAAGCCCCATTCCCGCCGCCTGTCCAAAGGAACACACTGAAGTGATGTGCTAGAGACAAAACACACAAACACAAAGCAATATCTTACATAAGCATCAGTGTGTCACAAACATGTAAATGAGAAAACACCTGTGCAGAGGGGTTCGCAGAGGCAGGAAATAGAGATCAGGTGACATGAGGAAGGCAAACACAATATCTTTGTTCAACATTTAGGACATAGACAGAAATACTAAAGAGAATGACACAGACGGAAGAGGTTGAGAAGAAGAACCGATTTGCAGAGGATCGGTTTTAGGTCCTTTTGATCTGTAAATGTGAGTTTGTCATAATTCAGTGTTGTGCAAATCTCACCTGGGTTCTGTCATGGTGCGTGTGAGGGGGACGTGGAAGGGACATTCAGAAATGGTGGACAGGCCCCGTAGGTCTAAAGGTGGCGGTCGAACTGTGAAACCAAACACAATGCAAAACGCTCAAACACTCCTTATCTTTTTCTGTCATCCACACAACACACACAAACACACTTTCACTGAGTTTAATGAGGCATTTCCTTTGTGTGAAGGTGCATGACCTGTAGGAGCCCTGTGCCTCCACTCAAGACACAATGCTGTCTGCGGTTCCTGATCTGCGTCTCTGGCAGTATCATGCACTTCCTCTCTTGTGCTTTTGTCTTGGCAAACCTACATTCTCAGTTTAAAAGTCATTTTAAATACTTCACAAAGACTTTCTTAAAGAAGTATGCATGCAGCTATTTAATGAAATACAAAAATACCAGTGCGTTGCTCAGTGCACACTATTATATATATGAAATATTGTGACATATTTGAAATTCTTTTAACAA